GGTTGTGTTGCTGCGTTATCGAAAATGTTATCCTGAACTGTTAAGTTGCCATAACGTGTGGCCGTTAAAAATAGCATTTATGATACAGCACAGGGTTGCTAGAAGCAATTTAAATTCACTTCATTTTCTTCAATCGGAAGACTCACTTTAAAATATAATTGGTGGCATTAATATATACAATCTGATACACCGAACACATTACAAACGAATGAGAACTGCGGAGAGCAGGTATAGAGAGACAGGTTCTAAACATAGTTAAAACCTGGAAGGTCTCATACCTGGGCCACATCCTGAGAGGAAGAGGGAAGCTGACCCTGCAGGGCAAGATGGAAGGCCGAAGGGGACCCGGACAAACAGAGCGCTCCTAGGTCATCAAAAAACAAACATCAGGAATTGGAGTGGGGTGCCAGATGTGACAACCATATTTCGTCGGGCAGAAAACAACGCCCTTACAATCCTTTAACGAATGTGCTGAAGATCCCAACGTGCAGGACGCACATGGGACCGGAAGAAGAGGAAGAATTGGTGACATGAACATCACAAAACCGATAAAGGGTAGAAACGATTTGTCAGACTCCACTCTGATCTTATCTGATCTTAAGACCGGGAAAAATTTGTCAGACTTCACTCTGATCCGAATATATTCTGCCGATGCGCAAACAATCGGATGTGTGCGAGATGGAAAAGGGGAGAGCACACATGTCGTATACGGTTCGGTCGGTTCCATCTTCATTCCTATTTTTCCAAAACGCAGATTTTGGATCCATACTGCTCCGAAAACAAGATCTCATGAAGGAGAGTTTTTGTCACTTTTTCCTCATCTGGCGGACGACAAAACTGTCAGTATATTAGCATGTCCATATGGGCATTTAGCCCTCAAGAAAACAAACTACAAGGAAAACTGTCTAAACAGAAGACATATTTTATAAAAGCCATAACAGCAAGACACCGTGTGGATGTCTTTTTAGGACTTTGTAGTCGGAGTTTCAGGCCTGGTCATAGAGACCCTAATATTTCCTTACATCTTCAATGAGATCCTCAGGTTTTGCTAAGCTCATTTTTCCACAATTTTACTAAAAGCGAAACAAAAAGTATCACCGACCGAACATAAAACAACAAGAACCGCTTTTATTCTGCAATCGTATGATAAAAAGACTTTTTTCTTCAGATTTTAGTCCGAGTGTATGGCCATCCACAGAACAGATAAATGTGTCCCGGCATTTAATGTGGTGTTGAGTTTCAATGCGTTAGTAGATAAATCGGTAACTTTTTATTGCGAAAGATGAAGTGGCAACGGCTTCTAGTGTAATTTTGAGTGAGCCTGCGAGCTCATGACGGCTCTAGTTATTTTTCCTAAAATTTAGTTCTTTTATCTGGTGCCGAGAGGGGGCAAATTAATGCAATGGTGGTCGATATGTTGATTCGTTTTGAGGAATTATACTGTTATCAGTAAAAGATGAGCATGAGCCAAGATACTACAGAGAATTGAATGAGCTGCATGCCTGTAAACTACACTTAAGCGTTTAATTGATTCGGAATCTAGACTGACAAAAGACAATACTGAGCAGGAAGCACAAAAATTTTATGTGATGTGTGTCGGCAGCATAAGGGTCAAGCATAGAGACGAGTATGGAAAGAGCTCGCCGCGCGTAGGTTTCAGAAAGTATGAGCGCCCAGCGTTAATGCATTACAAGCAAGAAAGCTGATAAGTCCTCTTGAAGCCTTGACAGCTCACCAGAATGAGTTGCATCTGAGAACATAATTGTACTTGAAAGAAATTATGCCAATTTGGAATCATCCTGTATTTTCAACTGAAATAAAAGATACGTTTGAATTTTTTTCTGATTTTCCATAAAATCCTGATGTTAATTGAGCAGTTTGCTCTGTAAAGTTTTCTTTAGAAGCTTCTTTGATGTTATACTCATACAAATCTTACTCTATCTAACTAATAGATTATTCGTATATCGGCATCTCACTTCATGCATCCAATTTTCTTTCCTCTTTAACGTTTGTCTCATAATTGGGTCGGCAACGCATATGTTAACTCGGAGATAGAGCACACCTCGGCTGTGTTGCTTGGTTTCGAAAATGTTATCCTGAACTGTTAAGTTCGTCATACTTTCTATTACTATGCACTGTCTCGTGTTGGTGTTGATTGTGTGATTTAAAACAAATAGATTGGTTTTCGTGATGTTATTTAAGTCAAAGGTCTATGTCATCGAGCCCGCACTCACCCGTGTATTATAGGAGGAAATCAAACGATGTAGTACCGAGATCCCGTCATATTTATCCAGACTCGTCATGGAAAATGTCTAAATAAAGGGCATACGTGCTAGCAAAGCTTTGAAGGCCTGATGGATCATTTCATAAATAACCCAGTTATGTACTTGATTTTTTAATTAAAAATTATAATCTAAAATTAAAATAGTATATTACGTTACAAGAAACAAAAGTCGAAGTTCGTCTCAAGTTGCGTACTTCATCTTCAATTTTCTTGATCCCTAGATGGAAAATATACTGTTTCGCCACTGTTTTGGATAGCAAACGAATCACTTTTTCTCATTACAATGCCGTGCCAATAACAATTTACCTGTCCGCCTATTATTCATAGGAAAGTACGGTACAAGATACCTTATACTTTTCCCGGCTAGTTTCCACCGAGGATCAAGAAAAATAGTGTACGGTACAAGAGACCAAAGTCAAGGGCGCGACTCTGTGTGTATGACGCCCTTGGCTTTGCCTCGGGCGTCGACTTCAAACAGTGACGGAACTACGACTTTCGTCTCTTGTACTGTAATATACTATTTATTAAATTCAAATATTGTGCTAATTTTGGAGCAGTCTTTATTAATACCATAGACATATTAAAACAAACAGACAGACATAGACAAACTAAAACATATCTTTTGGTCATTTCCGCTCAAAACAATCGTTCATATTGATAACCGAAAGCTGTTCTAAAGCGAAGCAAGTGGAATAAAGAAATATTCTTGTGCATTAAAGTATAAAACTAACCGACAGCCTTTTCATACTAATAACATTAAAGGGAGAATTTGGATAGACACGATTGAGGTGCAGTTATTAATTATCTCTTCCGTTAGCTGAACAAAGCATAGAGCAGCTAGAGAATTTATTACGCTGTAATGTGACCCGATGAATGTTTTTAGAACTGTTGGAACTACTGGGGTGAATCAGAGTTAAATTAAAGCTGTTTCGATAGCTCAGGGCAGCGCAGTTTATTCGCGCGAAGCATATTCTCGGCGAATTACTTCCATCGAGTCAGAAAAGTGCAAATAATCGAAACATATGAAGAAAGTTTCTTAGGTTGTAAAGTATTGTTAAAAAATGTAAGGACTGGGTGAAATGTAAATGTTACCATTACCTTCACAAATACCCGAACAGAAGACATATTTTAAAAATTTGGATTCTAAATAATTTTGAGTATTCTATATTCACAAATTGATTTCATAAACAAATTAAATACTTGATCCGTGAATAGAACTTAAAATATTTACTTATATTGTAGAAATTAGTCCAGCTTGATATGAACACGGCTATTTCTTATAAAATTTTGTATACTGTTTTAGGGAACAAAAGGAGAAGAAAATGGACAATCTTAGCTCGTACTTGCCTCTCAGCACTTGACAGAAGGCGATGATGGCCGGACAATGCTAAGTGGCATTTTGATGGACTGGAGAGATTTTGTTTCAAAAAGCGAAACAATATTAACCTTATCCCTGTTATCTATTTCTGTAGTCGAACTGTTGCAAAGCATCCTGATTCTCTTAGATAGGAAAGAGTCTCACCAAAGATTACAGGCAAGTTTTTTGGGGAGATTGCTGAACCTATATTTATCTTTATCTAATATATTTACTGAAGATAAGCTAAACCAAAGGTGCCCTAAATTTTAAGTTTTAGATTAAATATTAAATTAGTAGTATTAGTACGTGCGTTATTTGGTCGCACAGGCCTGATAATAATCGTACGGTTTAAATGCTTAACATGTAGTTTTCATTTCCTTTCGTGTAGTTATAGCGGTTGATTCTTGAGCATGGCATTTGTAGTTCGCTTTAGGGATGCAACTACTTAATATTGTCAATATTTAATGTAAACGTCCATTTTATAGCAATTCTTTTCAGAGAAAAACTTAAATCAGTTCTGGTTCCGGTTGTTTAAACCCATTAGGATCTTCTAGAAGAGCAACATTTACGAGTTCTTATCAATTTACATAAATTTATTATAACTTTAAAGTCTTACGTACAGGGTTTTTCCATAAGTTTCAAAGTGATCATCTTTCTAATATTGCAGACATTTATCGCGTTTAGTTCCAATTTGGTGAAATCAATTATTTAAATGTTGGTTAAAAGTTGTCACATGTTTATTTTAAAAAGTGTTTTTCATTCTATTCGGAGGAAACCGCCGGAAATTAGAGAAATAATCTAATAAGGGAGCGGTAATTGATTACTTAGTTACTGTATTTAAAAACAAACTAAGAAAGTTTGTACAATAAAACTGCATCAAATCTGTTAGATAATCAAACACCATTTGAGTAGAGTCTGCATACTAGAAAAAGGATCAAAAAACGCGTTAATATGGAAATCGACCTGTGCCTTATTAAATGTTTGATAAATGAAATTGTAAATTAGGTTACATTAAGATGTAAATTGTAATTTACCCAAGTGCCCTTTCTATTCTAGATTTTTTTAGCTGCATGGGGATCCTAATGACCTTTTTGGAATAGATACAAGTAATATCTAATTTCATTAACAAGAAACTTATAAATACAAATATTTACGCATATACCTAATTAAATTGTTCTCTCCTATACAATCCTTAATCTTAAAACTAAGATTTGTTGCAATTACAGAAGAGGACTTGTCCAATAAAAAACATATCAATTTAATTGTAAATTATAAAATTACTTTTCTATATATAAAACTATTTTAATCTATTTAAACGTAATTTGTATTACGTATTCCTTGTCGACAGTGATTATGATGATACCTAAATTCAAGACGTGTTGAGCTTTTACATTGTATTGTTTTGATTTTCTAGAAAACTAATTAAGTAATCGTAATTAAATTAAGAGCTTTTTGCTTTGATCTAATGGCTAGAAATACTTTGCAGCGACTAAATACAGGCATTTGTTATCTTGCAAATAAAGTGCATGAAATTTATATGTAGAAAATATAGTTTGTAGGTGTAGGATCGGTTAGGATATGTTGCTGTACCTTAAATATAACTTATGTATCCGTATGAATCGAAAATAATGATAAAAACGTGCAACCAGTGAAAGTTGATGAACACCATTAATTTGCAAACACGCAGGATTGCAAATGGATTAGAAAATCATAGATCTCTTAAGCAAAAGTAAAAGTAATTTTTTTTCATATAAAAAACATCAACTGGTTTGGCAACTTGAAAACCCTACTGTCCTACAAAGGAGCTGCTGAGTCTCTCCAACCCAAAATCTTTATGAATCTCAATAAGACCAAGTTAAACATTTAAACTTTAAGCAATTAATTTTTCTATTACTTTTGGAAACTCAATCAGACACCTCTAATAAAACTACTTACCTTAATTTTTATGGAACCTATGGATACATAAGTTGATTAACCAAAGTTTATATTTAAAAAAATGAACTTAATATATTCAAATAATTTTAAAGTGTCGTTGATTAACAATTAATTAATTATTTTTATATAATTTTTTAATTTTCTACAATTACTAATTACCATCTGTATCCAACAGCTCGCCATATCATTTCTCGAGAAATAACATATTCGAGGTTTTAATATATTTTCTATATGGCGAGCAATATGTTGTTTATTATAAAAAGTAGTTTATACTTAAAAATAGTGTCGTAGTGCTTTTCGTGTGAATTTATGTGATATATTATCTATTACTATCATTACAATAAGTATATATTTATCCGGTCTCTGCAAGGATTCAATCCGATTTGAAACGGGGTATTTTGTCCTTTGGATCTGGCAAGTCAATTAGACCTAATCTGTTTCTGTCCTTGTAAGGGACCACAATGCAGGTAAATGCGACTCTTTTTGTCTTTCGTGCTGAATCTATCAACTTCGGGTTTTACTATAATTGGGCAACTTTTGCAATTCGCAACGCCGAACAGACAAAAAGATCGCGCTGCGTCATATTTCCGTCCAAATAGAAAAAATCTATGTCAAGATACATGTTTAATTGACTCGTGCCGTATAAGGAAGCGCATGAGTCTCGGTAAGGTGGGTGCGGGTCACAGTGTAGATTTAGCTGGAGATCCTGACATTTCGGGGACTACATGATACATATCAGCTTATCTAATTATAAAACTAAAAAAAATACTTGTTATACATAAATGCAATCCGACCCTTAGATGTCGTCTTGTAACTGTGCTATTATGAATTATATTAATCGAACATGTGAGTGGTTGTTAGTTCTTAGCAAACATACAAACATACAAACATTGAAATAACTTTTATGTCAGTTTGTTTTACCAGTCGCACACTTTATAAAACAATACCTTATACATGGAAGTTTTATATGAATCTCGAGACTGACTGATATTACAGAAATATAGCCAAGGCTATTTCTGTTTGCATAAAAGACATCGTTATATAAGGAACCCATTTAAAACCGCGTTACTCAATGTTCCCCAAGCGCAATCGCTGATAGCACATGCCTTTATCACGGTTTATAACACAAAACATGTGCTATAAAGAACACTTGTTTCTAAAAGGGTGAACCAAATCAAACCCTTTGCGCATAATGGGACTTAACATATTACATACAACGAATATCGATTTGATTACTTGCTGCGTAACCATTTTTATTACAGCTTGTGGACGTTCTTATAAAATTTTAAATCTCCAATTGATCGATCTACCATAGACATTTATTCAAGTTTTTTTTTATTTGAAAAATACTAAAAGGCACAGAAAGTTTGCATTTACTCGTTTTTATTTAAGTGCTGATAAATGACTTTTATACAAAGTTTAGAGCCAAACCAGTTTACATGTTCAATAAATACCAACCTAAATAATAATCGCTATAGTGTATATAGCAAGCGTATAATCACTAAGCCGGTACCCATGATGCGGCCAGTTTGCTCGTAGTATGTGGTTGAACCTGCGTGTAACCGCATTGCGTTTAACCGTAGTCACAACCCCTGCTTCCAATTGTAAACCGCTATCAATTGCAGCCAAAACGCAGTAATCAATAATAATTTAAAAAATTGACCTTGACAAAGTCTTAACCATTTACTACATCTATTTGAATTATGAAATCAAGAACACAATCAGGAAAAATTGTGGTTCTGTCAAATATTGAGCCTATAAATAGTATAAAATTAATAAATATTTACTTAGCGTTTACGCAACCTCATGTTATAAAGCAATACAATCACAATGCAAACAAGCCGTGCAAAGCTTTAGATCAGAAGGCAGGAAGCGGTATGAGAGTTATTAAAATAATATCATATCCGCTAAGATGGCGAGGTTCTTTGGGGTTTCACCTGAAATTGATACTAAGCCATTGGCAAAAATAAAAAGTACTTGTGCAAAAGCATATATTTTAAATCATAGTGTAGGTCAGTCTCAAGATTCATATCAATTTTGCGACGTAAACATGTGATAAATTATCAACGTTATAATGAACTAGCCACAATCGCCTTCTCTGCTTTAGGTAATAGGTTTATATTTAGTAGACAATTAAATTTAAAAAGTAATAATAAAAAACATTTCTAAACATATCATGATCTGTGCCCCTTGTCAAGTGACATCTTAAATCGTAGCGTTTAGTAATCTAATTGATAAAGATTTGATAATATTTAAGATGCGGATTTACAAAGTAGGACAATTTCAATTACCATAATATTTCTCAAAGATAATCATGCGCTAATGCTGAGTATATTTACATAACAAGTGAAGGCCTTGTTCCTTTTATTTCTGTTATTATTTTTATTTTGTTATTAAACTGGTAGCATTTAAATTAACGGCTTTCATTCAATTTGTATTATACTTTTTTTAATTAACAGTTTGATATATTCCAAATCACATAGCAAAATACAGAGCAATAAAACGAAAATGTTTACTTTAATTAGAGCTTACGGTAAGAAATTTTAAAATGGAGATTTAGGGAACGGGATGCCAATTATAAGCCTTATAAATATATATTGTGTTAGCTCCCTTTGTATGTGTACCCAGCAATGCTAAACGGTAAAACGGCAATTTTTAAGATTTTACACTGTTCTCAGTTACTAGGATTGTGGCAACTCGCAGATATACGTTTGCATAATAAAAACTATAGTTCTGATGTCTCTAATCAGAAGCTGAATATGTTCTATTAACTTTCCCATGTGGCATATTTTTAAATTCAAACGCCGTATTTTTACCAGTGAACCAATGTGGCTTAACAGAAAGAGACTTTTTCTAAGGTAGCTTAGTGGTAGTGAAGTAGAAAAATAAATTTTAAATTTTTTTGTGAGATAATAATTTTCTTTCTTCCATCTAATGATCCTAATCCCATTTACATATCACTATCGGGCCGAAAACCTAATATAATATCAAAGCTCATAATAGTTTAACACCGCCGTCTAAGGAAAATCCTAAACATTTTTCAATGCATTTTTTTCTGCAAATTGTTGAACATTACTACTGCCTGTCTTTAATAAGCATATTTAAGAATTATACGTAAAAGCATCGAATAGAAGATAAGATAAGCGAAATATAAAAAACTCTGAATTTAAACCCAATTTTGCCCATGGGAAATGAAAAGTAAAACTCGGTTTTCAGCTTACTGCATGCTAACCATTGTTTAAATTATGTGACGCTATTTGACAAAGTAAGAATGTAATTCTTAAAAATAGCCTGAAGCCCAGACGTAGCCTTAGAAAACTTGTTAATTGGCCAGAAAATGCATATCTTTACTGTAATACTGAACAGTACGTAGTCTAATTAGTTTAAATACTGTAAAATTTGTCGGAAATCCTTGTTGGAATTAGAGCTAAATAAATACCACGTGTATAGTACTGAGTGTTTTGAAAGATTTCATCAGATGGGACTGGCTGTAACGGTTGATTAACTTGAAAATTGTCGCGGATTGGTAGAAGAATATTTGTTGATACTAGTCAAAATAATTGTATTTCCTACTCACCCCACCATCTTGCCCTCTCAGATTTTACAGAAAAGCATTCCAAACAAAGATTATATTACCTGACGATGTACTTAGCTATAAATTGTATAGGGTCCAAAAGATGGAAAATAAATATGTATTAAACATTATGGTTTATTTTTTATTTAAGATCCCAAAATCTACTCAGTGTTTATGGTGTGATGATTGTTTAATTCTGGTTCATATTTGTATTGGCTTTCTAGCCAGCACCTACTCGAGAATAACTTGAAAGTGATGTAAGAATGTACACCGAAATGAATGTAATGTTGTCATAAAAAGACGTGATTATCACGTTAAAATGTCCCTGTGTATTGAAGGTACACAGATGCCCCAAAACAATAAAATGTCACTTCTGATGCCTTGTCTAGTTGCTCTTATAAATACGCTAATATGTGAAATAATGAAAGTTATGGTAATATTATATGAGATGAATTAATATAAACGTCGCGCTAAACATATTTTTTTAATAAGACTTTATTGCACAAATGTCACATATCATGAAAACGTTTCAAAAATGTTTCAGTAACGTCTTTGGCGCACACGAGATTTATGGTTCTACCGTTTCCCATCGCGCATGGCATTTATTAGGTATCTTATGACCACTACGGAACAACACATGATTTGGGAGGTTCTATTATTTCATTTTTCATTATTAAATTACTTTGACTTGACTTGACTTGTTCAGCTTGACTCTTGACTGGTTCAGCAAAATAAGTCATAATATTTTGGTAAGTACCTATACTTTTTAATTGTAGAAACTTGGATATAGGTAGGGGAGACTGTCCTAAAATGACAGTCTGATAAAATGACATAGGCGCGAATTTTAAAGCAAGTATTGAAAACTCGATCAAAAATTGGTTTTTTGTTTGAACTATTTAACAGTGCGGTGCTATCGAGAATATATTATTATTCTAGTGGGTAATCGTTCAATCAAGTATTTTTTAGTTTCAGTATGTTTTTAAAAATGTGTTTTGTCGTTTAAAATAACATACCAGTATCCATTATAAAATGACATAGGTATGTCATGTCAAGACATGGTCTGTCATGTCATGTCAAGACATATGTCTATGTTAAGACATAGGTATGTCATTTTATCCTAGTAGTGTGTGATTGTGTTGCAATACCTAGTATGTATCTATGTTAGTTAAATCTAAGCTTGACAGGCTAAGATTTTTGCTGTGGTATCGCTCGATATAAGTAAACAAATTTTCATTATTTTATAAAAACAATTTTGTTTTTGTTTCGTATGATATCGTGAAATGCTGCTTTATTTCAAAATGGTGGGAAACAACAACCAAATACCAATAGGCAATTCTGGAGTGAGGATTCAATGAGGTTAGCTATCGAGACAGTACATAACGGCGAATTCGGGTGGCTTGCAGCTTCAAAACAATTCAATGTTCCGTAAGCCACGTTAAGAAGGCGAGCTCAAAATAAAGACAAAAAAATAGGTAATTTAATTTTTTAATAATTTAATTGTTGAGGCGAAATACCCAAAAAGAAGTTTGTAAAAAATGAATCCGCATCAACAATATAGAACTTATCTACAAAAAATAGGTGTTGTGAAAGGCCTTGGAGGTTTTCCACAACCTTTCCAATGGAAATGGAAAACGAACTGGTTGAACATATCAAGATGTGGGAAATTATGTTCTATGGGCTTACCGTAACCGATCTAAGGAAAGTGGCTTATAAGTTCGCCGAAGGAAATAAATTACCACATCGATTTTGTAAAGTCCAAAAAATGGCGGGGTTTGAGTGCCTTAGGGGATTTCGCATGCGTCATCCGGAAGTCACTTTAAGAAGTGTCTAATTTTTTTCTGCGCTTGGGGCAACTAATTGAAAAATATCATTTTGAGCCCAACAACATGTATAACGTTGACGAATCTGCTCTCTCAACAGTCCAAAAACCTTTTGGGATATTTGCTACTAAAGGCGAAAAACAGGTGGGATGCATAACCAGCGCAGAACGTGGCACTCATACAACTGTGGTGTCACAGACTACATACTATTTAGACCTCCCACTCTTTTAGCACCGCTGGCAGCGCTCTTGCGGTCTGAGACACCTAGCTTTCAATTTGGCGCCATATTCAATTTTATTTTAGACTTTTTCGGGTTATGGGATAAAAAATACACTGGCAAAGCAATTGGATAAATATGTATTGATATTTTGTACACTTGTTACATACAATAGACATTGAAAAATATAAGTTATAATAAATAAAATCGTTATTTGATAATGGTGTTTGGCGGACATTTGTCATCGTTATAAAGCAAGGTATCAATAATCGGCTGAACACCTTTATAGCAGTTCAATTACAATTACCATTGATGATGACAACATGATCATCAGTTAACGATAACCTTTCTTAAAAGATGCTACCTATTTATCTTTAAATAAATTAGATGCTCATATAAATAAGAGCATCGGTACATA